AGTATAGTTGGGCATCCGCTTGCCTAGCTATCATCTACAACAACTTGTGCAATGCGTCTCTAAAAGCCGTGAGGGAGGTCAGCGGCGCAATGTTCATGCAAGTAACGTCAGTGCATATTTGATGGAGGTCTACCCTCCTCGTGCCATCCAAGCAAGTAACGTCGGTGCATATTTGATGGAGGTCTTCAAGCTTCGGTCTGGTACCGACCGTTATTTTCTGAAAATTGCCACCGACGTAGGTGGCCCCCTTTCCGGTCTCTTCCGTGTAACCATTCCACCGTAAGCCAAGCGTTAACTGACGGAATGCCATCTGCACACAAACAAACCGTAGTTTAGTTAATATCATAAAAATCACAAATCACAAATAACAATAAAAAGTAACACAAAATAAAGTTACGAGTTAATGTTAATGGCATAAAAAGTAACACAAAATAAAGTTACGAGTTAATGTTAATGGCATAAAAAGTAACACAAAATAAAGTTACGAGTTAATGTTAATGGCATAAAAAGTAACACAAAATAAACTTACGAGTTAATCTTAATGGCATAAAAAGTAACACAAAATAAACTTACGAGTTAATGTTAATGGCATAAAAAGTAACACAAAATAAACTTACGAGTTAATGTTAATGGCATAAAAAGTAACACAAAATAAAGTTACGAATTAATGTTAATGGCATAAAAAGTAACACAAAATAAACTTACGAGTTAATCTTAATGGCAAACACACTAAATAAATATAGATATACAACAGAAAAATGAAAGAGAGAATGAGAGGTGTGAAGAGTAGAGGTTTTCCGGCAAGTCTTATATAGGGGAAAAAATGATGAAAACCGCACCTCTAGGGTGCGGTTTTAGTCTGCCATGCAGGCCTACGTCAATAATTCTCTGCATGTCTGCATGGCTATGTCGGAAAATTATTGACACGTAGACCGCACTTGGGGGGTGCGGTCTACATGGCCAAACCGCACCTTAGTGATGCGGTTTATTCCTGGAGGAATAAACCGCATCACTAAGCTGCGGTTTGGGTAGGTCAGGCCTAAATCGCACCTCGGCCATGCGTTTTATGTAGGCCAGACATGAAAACGCATGGCCAAGGTGCGTTTTAGGCCCACCAGAATAGAACGCACCCTCCAGGTGCGGTTTACGTATAAAACGCATCTGGAGGATGCGGTTTATTTGTAAAACGCACCACAAGGGTGCAGTCAATAAAAAAGGGTGCTAGTTTTGTAAATATTTTTGGGAGGGTGCTAGTTTTGTAAAATTTTTTAAATGTGCTATTTCTGGAAAAAACTCCAGGTTATGCATCTAATATGTAAAAAAAATAAAAATGGGTGAGCAATAATTATTAGTTAAACCTTTCCCGCATTTTTTTATTAGCACATCTAATAAATTACTAATAAATAGCCAATTTTTTTGTAATGCATCAAAATATTAGGCATTTTTACATTATTGTAATAATTTTGTAACTCTTTTCTTAGTTAAAATACTAAAGTTTTGGAATGTTGACCTCCATGTGTCTCTCTTCCAACTAAATATCATGTTACCAAGTCAATATTACTAACAAAATTGTTAATTTGAAGTTAATATTTGACTCATTATTCGTAATTCAATAAGTTTGGCTAATAAAAAATAATGCGGGAAAGGTTTGGCTAACCGTTTAAAGATCGATGGTCTTATACGGTCAGGGTTTGCGAAATTGGTCATTTTGAGGTTAGTGGAATAAACGCAAACCGTAGTACCGCACAAAAGAAACCGGGCTGTATAACCGGGACCGAGACCGGACCAGGACCGGATAGCAAACAATTCGATCCCATCTTCGGGCTTAGATTTAAGGTGAAAAACAGTTCGAGATCGGAATGAAAACCGGATAAGAGAGCCTAACACCCAAAATTTAACCAACTCCTCGTTCTTTCAGGCCTCGTGTCACTCAAATACCCACAAGGTCAATCTAAAATCAAAACCGAATTGGGACCGAACTGTATCCGATCCAATCTTTGGTCCTTATATTCTCGAAAAGACCGGACCGGAACCGGATCAATTCGGGTTCATTTAACCGGACTGGACTGTATAGCCACCCTAATTAGGGCTGGCTATTTGGTCCGGGTTTTTTGGTTTTACCCGAAACTGGACCGTATAACCCGGACCGGGAGCGGATAGTAAACAATCCAATCCAATCTTTGGGCTTAGATTTGAGGTAAAAAAAACCGTTCGGGACCGGATTGAAAACTGGATAAAGACCGGATAAAAGAGCTCAACACCCAAAACTTAAGGATAATTTGCATAAACGGTCACAACCTTTTGCACTTAGTACAAAACTTAACCAACTCCTCACCCTTTCAGGCCTTAGGCCAATCAAATCCCCACAAGCTCAATATAAAATCAAGACCGAATTGGGACCGGATCAAGACTGGACTGTATCCAATCCAATCTTTGGTACTTATATTTTCAAAAAGACTGGACTGGACCGGATCAATTTGTGCCAATTTAACCGGACCGGACCGTATAGCCACCCGGCCCTGACCCTAATCGTGACCCATTCTGGCCTCCAAAACTCTAAAGTCCAACCATGACTCATGAGGTCATGACTAATCGATAATCCTGGTATTTGGTTAATCGATAACCATTTTCAGTGGGTCATGATTGACAAATTTCTCCTTATTCAGTTACAATTAACCATATTATTCGATGTGGTTAACTTAAACCTCACCGTTTTTCATTCATACATGTCATTATCAATTTGTATGAATGGAATTTGCAGCAACAGGTTTTACTCATCTAAAAATAATTAAAAAACAAAACAAGGAAAACCATTTGATAAGCCCCAAATCTTGAAAACGCCTTTTCAAACAATTATTGAAAAAAAAGAGTTTTCTAACGCCATTCCAGCACACACCAAGAAAAAGCAATGAATTCATTATCTTTGTAATAATTTCAGCTCTATAGTGAGCTAGCTAGGCACACATACTCCTTGAACTTGAATGCCATTATAGGTCGATATAATTTTATTAATTTTTCCAAATAGCACCAGAAACAATACTTTATAATAAATTATACTTCAATCCCTTCTCATGTAGCGCTCATTTGTATTTCTAAAAATGCGTATCGATGAAATATTCAGTATTGGTACATGTTTAAATATTTTGTAAAATGGGAACTTTATTAGTGGATGAGTTGTGAATTTAGATGTACAAATTGTGAATTTGAATTGAGTATATATGGAGTTTGGACGATTGACATATATAAATTGGTCGAAATTATGAAACTTTGACAAATGTTTAAATTTTATCCCATCATATCTTGGTAAAAAAAAGTTGATTCGAAAAAACTACTAGATCTAGTTATGAGAAGAAAGAAATCTGATTGTGAAACAAAGGCTTCAATATGTGGAAGTTGTACTCCATAAGGGTTAAATGTGGAGTTCGGAAGTGTAAAAATAGAGCTCGAACGTCCAAATTACATCAAGGAATGTATAAAAGTAATGAGTAATGTCCTTGGGCGAATGTGTAAAAACCATTTCATGAAAGAATGGAAACCTTACATATGTATATATGGCTAAGTACAAAGTAATAAACATGTCTTTAATAATATATATGTCCTTGATCACTAGACAGAAGTATTGAATGAAATAACATATGATCGATTGATGCCAAATTTTGCAGGTGTCATCAAACTTCTAAGTACTAGTCAAAGGAGTTTTGGACATTAATAACTATTTTCTTGGCCTACTTAAGATGTGAAAATTTGCAAAAGGTACCGTGATGACTTTTACATGCTCAAGTTAGTATTATAAAAAAGAAATGTAAAATTTCATCTCTAACATCGTGTGTACTTATTGGACATTTTGTTTGCACCAAAGAGAATGATGTAGGATCGCATCTATAACCAGTAACTACTAATAAGTATCACTTGTACATAAAAGTGCCCAGTGCACGAGCATGCTTTCTCTATATCTTATGGAAGAGAGAAGCAATCACAAAATGACCCCAACGATAAATGTATTGTTATGAGTTTATAACTAACCTTCCATATGAGCAGGAAGTAAATTACGTATCGCTTTATAACGAAGAAGTTTTGGTGTGTCTGACTAACCCTATGAATCAAACACATTATAATGCTAACAGTGAATCTATCAGATCAGCCAAAACCCCATATATCTTTCCAGTTAACATGAAAATCACACAAAATTCTCATCAGTTCAATTGCTTCGAATTCGTGGTGAGATTACGTGGAACAAGTGCAGATCCCTCGTTATCTGTTTTGAATGTTTGCATTCATAAGTCGATAAAACACTTCCAAGGTAGGAGAATAAGAATGACTAACCCCTCCTCCTCCACTATTTAGGTTAATTTTAAATCACAATATCTTATATTTAGCTGGCCCTCATCTAGATATTGCACTGGAGGTAAGGTACTTAACTCGCCTAGCTAGTACCTTTGTTGCTACTTGGTAGCTACTAGCTAGAAAGACTTTTCCTTAGCCCCTTGACATCTTCTCAAACCAATTGGAAAGATGAAAGAGAGGAAGAAAGCAGAATTTCATCGACAACAACACTACTACAAATAAAAGAAGAAAAAAATCCATAATAAAAAGAAAAGAAAAGGAGGGGAAAAAGGAAAAGTCCACCAAACAAAAACTGATTGATTCCAGGGAGAGGGATAGATGGATAGATAGAGGAGAAATGAAATGAAATCCTTTCCCCACCTTTTTCTTGCTTCTGCTTTTCCCCTCTTCTCTCTACATTACAAAATTGAGTCCCACAAAACAGATTAAACAAAAAAGCCTCCCTTCTCCCTTTCCTTTCCTCCCCAATTCCAATTCCCATTCCCCCTTCCCAATCCCTAATCCCCATTCCCATTCCCATTCCCCCGCCAAAAAAACCCAATAAACAATAATACACAAAAAGAAAAGAAACCAAAACAAAACAAAACAAAAAAAAACCACCACCCACACAACAATAAGCCATTAGAGAAACCACCACATACTTCTTTCATGCCCTCATGGATGCTGGTAACGCCGCCGGCGACAACCACCAAAACCACAACCACAACCGCGGCGGCGGCGATGATCACCATCTCCACCTCCACCACTTCCAACAACACCACCACCACCGCCCCACCTTCCCCTTCCAGCTCCTCGAGAAGAAAGAAGACGAGCCCTGCTCCTCCTCCTCCGCCGCCGCCTACCCTTCCCTCCTCGACCTCCCTTCCACCTCCACCGCCCTTACTCCCACCAGCATAGCTCCCACGGCGGACCAGCAGCAGCTACAAACAACCACCAAAAAGCCGCCGCCGAAGCGGACCTCCACCAAGGACCGACACACAAAAGTCGACGGCCGCGGGCGCCGGATCCGGATGCCGGCCCTCTGCGCCGCCAGGGTCTTCCAGCTGACCCGCGAGCTCGGCCACAAGTCCGACGGCGAGACCATCGAGTGGCTCCTCCAGCAGGCCGAGCCCGCCGTCATCGCCGCCACCGGAACCGGAACCATCCCGGCCAACTTCACCTCCCTCAACATCTCCCTCCGCAGCTCCGGCTCCACCCTCTCCGTCCCCTCCCAGCTCAGATCCGCCGCCGCCGCCGCGGCCGGGCTCGGGTTCAACCCTAATTTCTCAATTCAGAACCGCCGCAGCCTCTTCGGCCTCGATCCGCAGCCCACGACGTCGTTTCTCAACTTCCAGGGTGGGAATTTCGGGAATAATCAAACGCCGTCGTCGTCGTCGAAGCAGGAGGTGAGGGAGAGCTCGGAGGAGGCGGCGGCGGCGGAGGAAGGGGGGATGATGAGCAGGAAGCGGAGGAATAGCGACGAGCAGCTGGATTTGTCGTCTTCTTCGAATCAGCAGCATCAGATGGGGAATTATCTGCTGCAGTCGAGTTCAACAGGAGCGATTCCGGCCAGCCAGCACCAGATTCCCGCAGGGAACTTTTGGATGGTGGCGAATTCCGCCGGGATGGGGGCGGACCCGATTTGGACCTTCCCCTCCGTCGGCGGCGCCAACAGCGGCCTCTACAGAGCGGCGGCTGCCAGCAACATGGCCGGAGCGGGATTGCACTTCATGAACTTCCCCGGCGGAGCGCCGGTGGCTTTGCAGCTGCCGCCTGGCGGCGGCGGGCAGCAATTTGGGAACATGGGGGAAGCGCAGCTGAACTTAATGGCGGCAGGGCTGAGTAGTAGTACGGCCGCAGCGGCGTATCGTCATCACCACGCGGCGGCGGCGGCGGCAGCGTCGGATTCGCAGCAAGCGAGTGGATCGCAGCAGGGAGGCGGCGGAGGAGGGAGCCGCGACGATCGGCATGATGCCAGCAGTCATCAGTCGTAATTGTGTGCGCGGTAAAAAAAAAGATTTAATCACACGTGAGGTTTGATTGTGCTCTCTTTGCTGATGAGTTTTTTTTACTGTTTTATTTACTTTTCGGGCTTTTTTCTCTCCCTTTCCTGTTGATTTTTTTTTACTGAATTATTATTATTATTATTATTATCATGATGATCATTATATTCGACATTTTTTCTGTGTGATGAGAGGAAGGATGGGGAGGAGAGGAGTGTTTTCTCTTTTTTTTCGAGAGAGGGGGAATGGATGGTTTGGGAGGGAAGAAGTGATGATAAGATATTATTGAAAAAATAATCATTCATATATATGCTATTACTATTATTTGCATTATTATTATTTGGAAAAAGGGTTATCTTCTTTTTCTATTTCTAACATTCCCCCCCCCCCCCCTCCCTTATTTAAGAGTATAAATTAGGGAATTGATTAGGATTTAGGAAGAATGATGATGTTGATTACAAAGGTTGATGCTTTTGGTGGAGATTGGAATTAATTAAGTAGCAGCGTAGGAAACAGTGGTGGAGCCAGAAATTCGAACTGAGAAAGGCTAAAACCTTACCGATTATTCTCAACTTAGCTCCACCGCGGATAGAAAAGCATCATTGAAGCTAGTCCACTAGGTAGTTTGCTATCGACTTTGATCATATGAACCATGTATGGTAACATTGTATAAGAGCTTGTTCGAGCTCGATAAGGTAGTGGGTTTATGATGGGAGAAAATGACGTGTGGTATGGGAAAGAAGGGGAGTATGGTAAAGAGAGTCCCCTACCTAACCGGCAAAATTCATCAATCATATGGTGGTGTTGTCTGTCTTTTTCTTCCATGGCCAGCCTAGGCCATGGTATCCATCGGTGGGGATGATGGGAGTTTTTAGGTCAAAAAAATAAGAGGGAGAGGGAGAGAGAGAGAGAAAGGAAGTGATGAAGGATGGAGTACTACAACGTACTATAATTAGCTCTGAGGAGGAGGAGGAAGAAGATGATGATGATGATGATATGTTGATATCTATAAAACTGTCACTAGTGTGATTATTACGTTATAGCATGCATGCTTGATATGTTCGATTGCCCTTAATTAGCATTGTTTTTGTTTCTATTTTTTTCTTCCCTTTTCTAGACCGTGATTTCTAATTAGTAAAGTAGTGTTTGTCGTGGAAAATATATGCTTCAAATTTTAAGTTCATTGCTGGTCATGTTCGGACAGCATGCAGCTGGACATCTTGTTCAATGGCAAATTAAATTAAAGCATGAGATTATATATGAGATGTATTACATATGTAGCATATTTTAATAATTTGAGTTATTGAGATCGATCTTGTTTTTGTCATGATACCATAGTTTGTAACGATCAAAAGAGTCTCGTGTTCGACTCTCTTCAGCCTATGATCTCTTCAATATTGACAGGTGATTCAAGCGCACATTGTATCATGAGCCTAACCAAATTCCAAGCTAACAAGTTGGCTTCCCGTGTGAGAAGAGATGTGAAGAAATGGTAAGATCTATATACGAAACCTCTAACAACCACTCGAATTATTGGAGGTCAACAACTGGTTGTTAACAACACGGAGATATGAAAATGTATGGCATGCATTGTTTCATTCATCTCAAAACATACACTAACGACCAATTGAGCTTGTGCTTGGCAAGTTTATGTCAAGAACCATTTGGTCACACACACTAACTCAAGTTATTGGGACCAACTGGTTCCTGATATTGGTATATTAGAGTCTTCTGTAACCGAGAAGTTTTTTTGTTCGAATCCTAGCGCATGGTCTTCGAATCCGTGCAAACTTCAACCTCGTGGCTATAGTTTGAGGAGATGTGTTAGTATACAAATATATATGACTGATAATGAAACTCTATAACAACTCAAGTTATTGGAACTAAAAAGGGAAGAAGACAGTTAACTATGTAGGACGGATATTGCGTGAGCTCTGCGAGAAAGAAAGATATAGCCACTCGCGCAACATCATCACTGGTTGCTGCGTTCACTAAGATGAACAAAATTTGTTGACAGTTAATTGTGGTCACAGACAGAGAGCATTTGGTCCCCTTAATTACCTCTGTGCCAAAACCAGCAGGTGATCCAACCAGTGGAGTCACTACAACATTACAAACCTGATATCATTGTGGTGATCAAAAGAAATTAGGAGCGTCAGAGTAAGAACAGATGATCACTTTGGCAAGCGGAGGCCAGATGACGCCGGCGTTGGAGGGGGTCGTATATATATATATACATGCTTGCCTTCTCCTGCAGCTCGCCAATTAATGGCGGTGGAGGGAGGGACCAATCAGCTGCCTCCGTGCAGCCTATCACTAAAAATATTGTTGGTCATAATCTCCCTGCGCGGGGCTGCGACTAGTAATGTGTAATGCTGTCCACTTTTGCCCTAACTACTGCCACTACTGCTGAGAGCCCACGGACGATGGAAACCTAGCTAGCCTAGCTAGCTATGCGGAAACAAGCTCATTAGTACTATCAAATAATAATAATCAAATCATAACCTCTTTTATTTCCTTTTATTTTTTTTTACAGCAACCTGTGAAATATATTAATCAGAGGTTGCTGTTGCGATATCGTCCAGTTTTAGTTGATCAACCATAAAATACTGGAGGTCTATCTAACCAGACCTGACGTTCCTCCCAGTTTGTCATAGAGCGTGTTTTATTTCCAATTATTGACGTCACAACTAACAAGTAGATAGAATATTGGGTTGGATTGGTGTGAGTTAATTTTACTAAACCAAATATTTTATATATGAGAATATGAATGAATGATAAGACTTCTATCGTAACAAGGCATATTTACGAGTACGATATGCTCTTAGTAAGATAAGACTATTTAGATTTTGACTTAATTGAATTGTGGGGCATGCTACCGCATTATAATCTTTAATGGGTGAACTTTAGATTCCAATCATTGAAGTGTCACGCTCTACATACTAAGATGGTGTATTTAGTATATTACCATGTCTCAAACTATGATTACTTCAAGATATAGATAGTATTTTATTACTAAAATTACCTCTTCAGTTTGTTTATGTTAATTTTGCATTGTGTAAATACATTATGGTTGTCCATATCACAGCAAAATACAGCCTCTCGTCATTGGTTCAGCATCTTGTTGATCTGTGTACTTTTGCTTTCTTTTTTTTCTTCCTTAATTACCTTGTAAAAATCTCATAGTTATATTCATGTCTTGTTATTCTGTATGGAATATTTCTGGAATTTTTTTTTTTACCATAGAACTCTCCATATGCTATTGAAATCAATAATGTACTAGCAAAAGGGTGGTGGTGGTGGTAGTATTATTTTTTGACAGCCTCAATGATTAAAGGGTGTGTTTTTCTGAGAGAAAGAAGAGTAGAAATGATATTAAAAAAAATAATAAAGAGGGAGAGTGGGCCCCAGTACCTTATCAGTTCCAGGTGTTGGGGTCAGGTGGTGGGTGGGGCCCGGTAGTGTCGCTGGTCATTTGCCTAAAACGACGTACAACCCTCACTGACATACAGGTGGATCATTCCTCCTTTCTTCTTTTTCAAACTGCAGGATCCAATATCATCCATCATCTCTTTATATTAATTAATTAGTCTTTGTTTATTAATTAACGCCCATTAAACTAAACTAAACAAAACAAAACACCCCCTCCTCTGTAATGTAATGAGTGTGATCAGTAGCCGTAATCAACAGATTAATAAGGGCTAAGCCTAAGCCTAAGGCTAAGGCTAAATTAAACAGGGCAGCTCGCTCCTTGTCGCCTTTCAAAAAGTGCTGTTAGGAAGGAAGGAAGGAAAGGGAAAATTATGAATGAGGACAAGGAATCGGGTGACATTATGAATGTACAGTTGTTCCCATCCAACAAAATTCGATCGGCTTCTTTCCATTGGCTCTACATACGATATACCTTACCAAGAATTATTGTCAAGGAGTATTATCCTTTGGAAATTCATATTAACATACAACTATTTTTTTCGAAATACTTTGTTTCAAAGCATATTGAATAGTTTTGCTACACCTGAATTCATAAATTTGTGATCAATTCATTCAAACAACATCGTAAATTTCTTGATGTGCAAAGACATATATATTCTTGACGCGCGCAAAATTATGGCAACGCACGTTTATATATATACCAGATGTTGTTTCCTTATTTTCTTAATGTAAGGATTGCCCGCTAAGTATTTTTTTTAAAGACATTGTACTCGAATAGTTGACCTGACCTAACTCGCTATGTATCCATAGGCAGAGCTACCCCACTTTGCCCTTGTCACAGGACGGGTATAAATTTTGGGGAGGAAAAAAATACAACACCTACATGTAATATAAGGATGTTTTGTCACAACATCATAACTCATTAATTAACAAAAACTAATTAATTTATTGGTTTCACTCATGACACTATTATTCTACAACAGCTTGTTGATCATAAATTATTTCGAGTAATGGTAGAGACAAAAGTGCATCGGTCATATATGCTAGTTTATTTGCTTCTTAACCTAGTTTTGATTCGATCAGTTGCAGTTGTAATTGTAGAAATGACACTTGTAGCTTGAGTTATATTAAGAACAAGCTTCTGAACTTGAATTGGAGATCATGCTTGCTATTATTTGTTTAGTGAGATACATTGAGTAATATATTTTGCATTTCTTTCATAATATGAAAACCCGCCGTGCTTGTTTATGCAAAGAATAATTATATTAATCGGTTGCTTTTTATTATTATCTATGAATGAATTATTTGAATACTATTAATTTTAATTATATTTATTTTTTATATTTTGAAAAAAGGTACTCTGTCTCCACTGTCTATCCATTGTCGTTCGTGTAAAAAGGAACCCGTAGGAGGGAAAACAATGCAAAAAGTGCTAGTAATTAACCCAAGGTACTAATAACAATATTCTAGAAATAGTAAAACAAATACCACAAGAAACAATTTGACCGACTAGCTTAACTGGTTAAGTAAGATACACATTATGGGCTAGCTATGGTCACAACTGTGCGTTTCCATTTGCCGACGTGAAATAATCAAACAAACAAAACAAACAGACAGACAGTTAACACGACGGCATTAATCAGTCTGGGCGCGCGAAGTGTACGATCAAATGACGTAATGGAATTGGGCCCGCCCAGATTACGATATGGAAATCTGGACCGTTGGGTCAGGAAAGGCGGGGCCCGCTCCTCTGCTGGGCACATTGAATGATTGGGCCTCTTATCTCTCTCACTGAAACACACAGCAGAGAGAGAGAGAGAGAGGGAGAGAGAGAAGGAAGGATGGAATCTGGGGAGGAGCTTCGTTCGGAATCAAAACCACTTACTACTGCTGAAGCTCAACTTGGTAAGCTACTGTCGCCTTCCGTCTTCCCTTATGGATTGATTCTCAATATATATTTTTGGATGGATTTGCTTTTGTAATAATATCCTCTTTCCCCTTTCCCATTGGGCCTTGCTGATTAGTGGTCAAAACTGATCAAAGAAAATGACACTCTCTTCTTTTCTTTCCCTTCCTTCTTTTGTGGACTACTACTATCAGTGTCACTGTTTTTCCATTCTGGATTGCAATTAAGGGACCGAAAGTTGAATATTTCTCACTACGTTTTTTTTTATTTTTTTAAATTTGAATATTCCTTGTGTTGTTGCACCCCTTCTATTTCTTTATCAACAACAAAAGAATTCGAAACGTCTGATTAGTGCGTAAATATATCACGGTTTTTTTTTTATAAAATCCTTTCCCCGCTTGCAAACTAGGGGGATCTTGATTTTTCTCCAATGGTGCATTAGTATTAACCATAGTAATCGGTTTGTGCGAGTGTTTTTCGGGGGAGATAGCTTAGCTTTGAAGACGATGTCGATAACGATATGCCTTATTGCTTTAAGATATTGTTTTTTTTTTTCCTTCTAAAAATATATCTTTCATTCTCATCTGTGATTATTCTTAAAGGGTCTACATTTTTATTTTAAGCAGACGGGAATCGTTGAACACCTGTTTCCTCTCCATTAATTGAGGGTGTATGGGACAAAAATCTCCTAACCAAATCTTTAGACTCATTACCCGTATAAATAATTGCAACTGTTATATATTATTTTTCGGCTAGCTACTTTGTTTGGTTTCGTAATTGATTATACCCTGTTTATTTTATGCGTGTCTGTTATAATCCTTCTTCATGGAATATATCGGTATTACAGTTTTTCTCAATAATATTATGCGTAAACTGAATATTCAACTGTCAACAAACATGCAATAAGAAATGAGGGGGAGCGAGCGAGCGTATTATATTATATATAGAGAGAGCTAGTTTGCATGCCTCTGTTAGCTGGCTGGCTGGAATGATGAATCCATCCATGCATTACTATTACTAAAGTGGGGTGGGGAGCGTTGGCAGCACAACTGGAACAGATCGATCGAGTGGGTTAATGATGGTCGAGTTTTGGAGCATTAGCTGATCGGAACGGAATCGGATGGTATATATATATATATATATGTGGCTGGCTGGGTGGCGGTAGTTGAGAAACGAGAAGAGAAGAGACGCTGCAGGCTCAAAAATGAACCTGCAACCGTCGCGCCCATTCTCCAATAATAATCTCCATGATGCTGCTCTCTGCAGTGCCGCCAAATAATTGATGCTCCCTGCCCCCGACACTTCATTAATATTTAATATATATTTGTTTATCGTTTCTTCCAGTTTTGATGGAGGGCAGGCTCTGAATTAATTTATATGCAACACACACACCCATACACGCGGCCGATTATTTACATACACTGTGCTTTTACAATTTTCAATTTTCTCTCGTCTCCATTGTCGGTGACAAAAAATACAAGAGAGTTGTCAGTTTATGGTGTCTCCGATTGACCGGGTTTAATGTGTACTCGAGGCCGTCAACGTAGATGGAAGGGTTAGTATTAGCTTTGTTTAATAGTAAAAGGGTAAGCGTTTGCCACGGGAATGCACCCTAGGCCAACAATAACAATAATAATCGGGACTTAGATTTGGAATCCCTCGCTTGATCTCTTCGGGAGGTGAGTAACCTATGAGGAGGATGGGGATGGCTCCCGTGATCTACGTTGCGACAGTTAAGTTGGTGACAGTGTAGGAATAGTGAATGAGACTGTATTGAGAGAATTTAGAGAGACCTTGTATTGTAAATGAGGGAAGGGAGAGGAAGCCCCTTGCTTGGGGGCTTGAGCCTCCTTATACGGGAGCCTTCGTAAGTGGGTTTGGGCACAAGACTCCGTGTGATGGGATTAGGCCAATTGATAACGTAGGAGTTTGTCGAATTAGGCAGATAAACCCATATCCCAATAATAAGTTTGATGAAATTCAAAACAAATCGGTATGTTTGAGGAAAAATACAAAATAAACATACATATTATTATATCCATGACACTTCCAAGTTAATATGACATTAAAATTATGAAAACTATACAAAACATTACATTAAAAGAGGTCCAAAATAATATAATTTACATGTCATCATTCAACTTGTGCAAACTAAAAGCAACCGAAGTTATTGAAACTAAGGCGTCGTTTGATTCATGGATTTAAAAATGAGGATTTTTTAATTTAAAACCCCAAGGATTTGAGGCATTATGAATTTTTAATAATCCTTTGTTTGTTGAGATGTTTTATCATGGATTTAAGGGTTTGAGATTTAGAACTTAACGTCCAAAATTACCATACTATCCTTTTTTTATTTGTTTGTCATGTATATGATATGTACACAAACCAAGGACAATGTGTACCAATAAGCATAATGTTGTCACAAGGACAATAATAAATGAGAATATTTAGTTTAATTTTTAACTTAACATATATCGATTACCAATTCTTTGTCCTTCTTTCAAAAGTAACATATAACAAGAAAGAATTAGGGTAATGTCTATTTTTTATCCAAACCTTTTTCAGATTCTTTTATATTATCCAAACCTATTATAATGCTATTAATTAGCCAAAATTTTCATAATGCATCACAATATTAGACATTTTTACGTTATCGTTAATAATTTTGTAACTCTTTTCTTAGTTAAAATACTAAAATTTTGCAATGTTGACCTTCATGTGTCTCATTCAAGTCAGCATTATGTTGCAAAGTCAATATTAATAACAAAATTGCTAACTGAAAGTTACCATTTGGCTTTTTTTATGACCAGTTTGGATAATATAAAAGAATCTGAAAAAGTTTGGATAAATAATAGACATTGCCCAAAGAATTACTCGTTACATAAAAAGGTTAAAGTAAACTAGAACACAAAAAAGAGTATAAAAAGTCTAACTCATGTTTGCACATTAAAATTGAATATATTTTTACTAGATTAGGGCCCGCCCATTGGACGGGTACATTCTATCAACTACATAAAAAACAATAGAAAATGTTCAAAGCAAATATGCATTTTTTTATTATTTTATAAATGGATGTATAGCATCTCAGCTTTCATTCAAAACCAGCCGGGGTTCGGAGATCCCCTGAGAGTCATACAACGCCAAATGGCGCAAAACAGGATCAGAAACAGGAACAACATGATAGCCAAGTGGCAAGGAATGCCCCCGACTAGCAAGTAAGTCAGCACACTTATTACCCTCACGATAAATATGATGAACCGAAACGTCCCAATCTCTATGGAGGAGCTCAGAGAACCTGTGGACAATGGCTGCGTGACGGTGGTCTGGAGTACGGGTATTCAAGAGCAACTGATCAACACACTGCGAGTCCAATTCCACTCGAACCCGTCGCTGTCCAAGGTTCCAAGCCAACTGAAGTCCCTCTACAACGCCTCTCAACTCAGCCCGGGTGATAGAACAACTCCCCAGGTTAATAGCAAATGCCGACAAGCAGCATCCTGTGTGATCTCTCAACAAACCACCCGCAACAGCGTGGTTTGTATTAGTGTGAACTGATCCGTCAGTGTTGAGAGTAACCCACTCGGGAGGTGGCGGCTGCCACGAGATCTCCACCTCCGTTCTTGCGGGTCGGGGAGGCTGATGAACAAGCCTTTCCATGTCCATGGCATTCCGCACTACATTAATCCATGCCAGGACAATATAGAAAAATAAACATATATATAGAGTTTTTCGACGTCCTAATCGATTCATATACATAAGAACGAAATTAAAAAAAAAAAAAAACTAAACACAAAGGATCATGTAGAGGTTTTGTCTAGAACTCATACCTGATGTTGTCGTACAATTCCCACAAAATTACTCGTCGAAGTCTTCTTCACCTTTTCATGGACAGTGTTCGCACTAAACATGAGAAACTTAATAAACCCAACGAAGAATATAAAGCCAATTTAGTATGTTTAGAGGGTATTGAAAACATGAGAAACTTAAAATTACTAACAAAGAAATGCAACTAATAGTAACATATATGTTTACAAACAAAGTGTTACCTATATAAACCGTCGATAAATAACACGTGAGTTGCTTCCAATTATGTCATCTTGGGTCAATTATGTCTAATTCATTTTGTTTATTGGTTTTGTGCATCCATTTAATAAACCCAACGAAGAATATAAAGCCAATTTCGTATTATGGTTTAGTCCAAGAGTTAATTTGCTACCTAAACCCAATAATAAATTTCCCAATTGTTGGGCCATAGTAATTATATATAGTGGTTTTTCCGGATTGATTTGAGCCCAAAATTAAAGTTATTATTAGTCTTAAGTAAAATGTCCAGAAACACCTTCTTTGCTTCACGCAGAGAGTAGGAAAAAGTGATTTATGTTGGTTCTTAAGAGGAACCTCCATATATTGATTTGAGGATGAGGATTATTTATTCATTTTTAATTAATTGATTATTTATAATGTATAATTGGTAAATATGAGGGCAAACTAGAAATTTTAAAAATTTATGAATTTATGGCATATTACAAATCACACATCAATATGTGAAATTTACAAGTCCGTGGGGTTCACGAATTTGATCTCTAAAATAAATGCATGCAAACAATAAATTTTTATTAAATCCATCTATCATCAAAATCCAAAGAAGCAAACTACCCCTAAAAATAATTTTTTTCATTAACATATCTTCTTCACTTCTTCTTTGATTCCGGGCGGCGGTGATACGGAGGATGTTCGGTCCTACTTTTCTTCCCGAGTGATGGTGAGGGAGCGGGGAAGGAAATAGAGTAGGTTTGGCTAAATTTAGGACGATTCTTTTTCTGAATTTTGGCGACCAATATGATTTCCGTTGAAAATGATGACGTGGAATGGAAAACCGAAAACGTAGGGAGACTGGAGTCAAATCGCCATTTGACTTGAGAGAGGTCAACAGCCCAGGTTCAGATATTGAATACGAAGAACAGAAAGAAGGATTGTTTCGCGGGGTGGGAGGGGAAATCAGTTCACCAATCAAATAAGCAGGAAACCGGGAAGCGATGCCGCGAGTCCATCAAAGCTTGGCTATGGTGATTCACGAGAGGAGGGCAAACCTGGGATTTTGCTGAAGGATAGAGAACTGGCCATGGCGGCGGCCGCGGCTGCGGCTACTGCTACTGCTGTCCGGCCGGAACCCCAAAACTCTGTTCCTCATCTGGTCACTCTGCACCATCTTCTTCTTCTCCCTTCTCCAGATGGCTATCACGAATTCTGCTTCTTCTGCTTCCCCAGGTAACTGTATTACTGTTTATCTCTACTTTCCTACTTCTTCAATTTGATATTGCCTTTGATCAATCGTCCAATCGTGCTCTCCCATGATCGATTTTCACTCCCAAAGCTGGAATTTGCATTTCCCAAATCGTCAATCTCCGTGGCTGTTGATTTCCAGTACTGATTAAAACTGGAATCATCTTAGGGGTCTATTTTTGGTGTCTTTTGGCAGGGTAAACTCAATGTCTGGGTTTTCATTGCAGGTAGGGTTGTTGGGTTAAGCTTCAACTTGAGAAAGTTAATTGCTTTCATCTTTTTCTCTGTCTTCTTACTACTCTCAAATGCTTGCAAGAAGAAATAGTATAAGCATTGGATAGATATCATATCAGCTATAGATTCTTTTTTCCCGCCACTGAAAGGCTAGATAATAAGTGTTGATGTGCCACTACGAAGATGGATATAGACTTTGAGGGGGGGACTATTTTCAGATTCTTATATTGCATATAACGAGCAAAGGTCAAGGCTGTATGGTAAAATGGCAAGGGATTTGGATGAGAAAGTAGAAGCCGTTCTTAAACATGGAGAAACGTCTCAGGCATTATCCCTTTCGGATATTTTTACTCTGAAAGATGGATCAGTTACTCCTGTACTTATGGTAACCATTGCTGAGGTAATAGCCGGACTGTCTATGTTCATTTTTGCAGTGCCATTGTTGGCTGTTTCTTGTGTGTTGTATCTAAGTCCACAATATTCAGTGCCCATCTCGTAAGCATATAGAGCAACTTACTTACTGTACCTTTTTCTCTCTTTTTTCCTCCTGTTTCAACCATTGCCACTAAACATAGCATAGACCCTGAGTGATGTTCAAAATGAATATACAAAGTTTCTAGATGCATCAGCTTATTTGATGACATTGTAGATGGCATCTGCAATTGAGATCTCCTGTTTGTTAGCTATTTCAAGCTTTTTAACTTTGCTGAAGGACTCCTAGTTATGTCAGCAGGTGAAAGCATCTTCTGATTTCTATACTGTTAAGGCTTCATACCTTTCACTGTGAAGAAAGTACTAACTAGGCGTGATATGTCTACAGAAATGCCAGGACCTCACTTTCTGGGTTCTTTCCTACACTATTGGCTTCGTATAACCTTATTTGGAAGAGCAATGTCTACTGGCCTGTTTCTTGGGCGAATGATTAAATTCACAATCCATGTGTAAATTAGCTTAAATGGTTGAATTAGTCGGATTTTCCTGTCCAAATCTGGTCTGAAGCCTTTTTTAGAAGCTCTTCCATCTTTAAACTTGAATATGACAAGTATACTAGATGAAAAGTTTATCGGATTGTTCCAGGTTGTTATTTCATATCATACCTTAATTTTTTTATTTTTTTTTTTCAGATTGAAACTTGAATAATATCCAATACAGCGAATGGAAACATTTTTATTGGTCTTGTTACATGCATATGACTATCTCATTCAATGTATTGAAGAATCACGTTATGAACTTCCATTGAATTCCATTTCTTCCTTACTACGCTGTCAATCTTGTTTGTTACTGACAGCAGTTACTAGTGACATGCCATTGGGAGACTGTTAAACTTGTCTTTGCTCCATATTTTGATAAAGGTTACTGACAATTTCGTCTACCTCTGTTTATTGTTAGTTGTCTTATACTCTTAACTTATGTGCTGAAATTTATCTCAAGAACATGTGTACTGTTATATCTCTGGTTTCTTCTATGTCACTTTCTGCTTGTTAATGCTGTCTAACTCACATGTTTTCTGCTCAGCGATTTGGCTTCAGAACTCTACGGTGTTCCACTTCAGCATGTTTTATGCTCCACATCACATTACACCTGTTCCTGCCACTGAATCCCAGGTAAAAACTACCATTGAGCTGCATCTTTTCCCCCTTCTTTTTTACCATTATCCTTTTACCACAGAATCATTTAAAATCTGTACTAGTATCGGGTGTTAGATTAAAGCTGAAGCAGCTGCTGTTAGAACTGCTGTTGAGACCTTTTGCCCTTTCCAAATAGTCTTGGACAGAGTAGTTTTGACTTCAACGGGTGTGCTTTTGGGATGCTGGCAGGTCAGTCACAGTCTCATCCTTCTGACTCTTGGTCCGTGGTCGTTGCTTCTAGCTTAGTAAAGTAGCTTGTTTACTGCAAAAAAGCTTAGTAAAGTAGCTTGTTTCTCATCATGTTCAGTACATAATTTTGTTCAGTGGGCACTTCTCCTTCCACCTTTTTCAGGTGACTGCTGGTGCAGATCCTGCAACTATTTGCGCTAAATTGAGAAGCGCGTTTCAGCGTTCCCCGGACAAGCAACTTGTAAGTTAATCAAGCTGATTGTTGAGATTGCTACATGCAATGAAAAGCTTGACTAATACGGAGTTGTTTGCTAGTATGACACCGTTATTCTTCTTCACACATCATTTGCAGACTCCCTGGAAACCCAACGACTCCATGTCTCCAACCGAGGTAAGCACGCAATATAGTTGTTAAACAAGTAATATGGTAATACAATATTCCGCTGATTGTGATAGAGATGAGTAGGGTTGGGGTTGTGAAATAGAATTGGGAATTGAGAAAGAATTAGGGATTAGAGGAAGAATTAGGGATTGGAAGAAGAATTGGGGAAGAACAGAGAAAAGAGGGATTTAGGGATTTTGATATTATTATTGCTTAACCGCAAATGAATGTGCAGAAACCTATTTATGAGTTTCAGAACTAACACAGGAGTAATAAGACAAATAAACCAAACCCGGCCCAGTCGGCCAACCCAACCCGACCCCCCTACCCGAGCGGGTCTCCATCATCCCCTTCCCCATCAGAAATGACCTTGTCCTCAAGGTCAAATGTCGGAAAACGCTGTCGTAGCTCGGCAGTCTCCTCCCAGGTAGCATCCTCACGCGTCATGTGTTTCCACAGAACCAAACTCTCCTCAATCAGCCGCCCGCCCTTCCGAACCCACCTGGTATCCACAACCTGCACAGGGGTAAGTACAAGATCACCATCGGCAGAGACTGGTGGCGCCGTCGTCTCCACCCGATCCGCGGCTCCTCTGTAGCGCTTCAGCAGCGACACATGGAAGGTAGGGTGAATACGCGCATCTGCCGGTAACTGCAACCTGTAGGCCACTGGATTAATCTTCTGCAGCACCTCATAGGGACCAAAGTATCGGGCAGCCAGCTTCTGGTAGGCTCGCCGGAAAACGGAAGCCTGTCTGTAGGGGTGAAGTCGAAGCAGAACCCAGTCCCCCACCTCAAACTCCTCCTCCCGCCTGCCTGCATCAGCCAACTGCTTCATTTTGTTATTAGCAGCAGCCAGATTGGCCTTGAGCTGCTCCAATGCCTCATCCCGCGTCCCAAGCCAGCGGTCCACCGCATCCACCTGACTGGCGCCCGGCTGGTAGCGAACCAATGCAGGTGGTGGTCGCCCGTACAGCGCCTCAAACGGGGTCGTCTGAATCGCTCTATGATATGTGGAGTTATACCATAGCTCGGCCCAGGGTAACAGAGCGAACCACCGCCGCGGCTGCTGGTGAGCGAAACAACGCAGGTACTGCTCTAAATATCGGTTGACCACCTCCGTCTGGCCATCTGTCTGCGGGTGGTATGCAGAGCTCATGCGCAAAGTCGTCTGCGCCAAGGCGAATACCTCCTGCCAGAAACGGCTCAAGAAAACCGAATCCCGGTCACTGACAATCGACCGCGGAAACCCGTGATGGCGTACAACTCCCATCACAAACTGCTCTGCAACTGCCCTGGCCGTATACGGATGCGCCAATGCCATGAAATGAGCATACTTCGTCAACCTGTCCACAACAACAAACAACACTGTCTTACCACCGGAGGGAGGAAGCCCGACAATGAAGTCCATGCTGATGTCCTCCCACACCCGCTCCGGCACCGGTAATGGCTGTAATAGACCGGCCGGTCGAAGATGGGAGGCCTTAACCCGCTGGCAGGTGTCACAAGAGCCGACATAGTCCTTCACATCCTGAGCCATCTGAGGCCAATAAAACTGTGCTCGAATCCGCCTCAGGGTCCGCTCCACCCCAGAATGTCCGCCAAAAAGTGAATCGTGGTACTCCTTAAGCACAGTCGTCACCAGGGAAGAGCCCCGGGGAAGGACAAGGCGCCCTCGGAAGAACACCAGCCCCTGACGAAACGAGTACTGGCCCGGAGTCTCTCCGACTGCGGTATCCCGGCATCCCCGCAAATATGCATCCGTCTCTGTCAGAGCTCGTAGAGCATCCCAGAACTGGGGTACTGGTCCCGTCACCGCTGCTAATACCTCGCCTCCCGGCCTACGCGAGAGCCCATCGGCCACCACGTTGGAGGGCCCCGGTCGATAGTGTATCTCATAATCATAGCCCAGGAGCTTCGCGACCCACTTGTGCTGATCAGGAGTGGAAACGCGCTGCTCCAACAGATTCCTCAGGCTCTGATGGTCGGTGTAGATATGAAATTTCTGACCCAGAAGGTACGGTCTCCACATCTGCACAGCAGTGATGATAGCCTGCATCTCCTTCTGGTATGTAGACCACGCCTCCTTGGAGGGAGCTAGGGTCTTACTCATGAAGGCCACCGGATGCCGGTCCTGTGATAACACCGCCCCGATTCCCCGACCAGACGCATCAGCCTCAATCACAAAGGACCGGGAAAAATCCGGCATAGCTAGAGTCGGAGTGGAGGTCATGGCCTGCTTCAGCCGCTGGAAGGCCGTCTCCGCCTCTGGGGTCCATGCAAACCCGCCCTTCTTCAACAGATTAGTCAAGGGCCGGGCGATCATGCTGTACCCCTGCACGAACTTCCGGTAATACCCTGTCAAGCCCAAGAAACCCCTCAGCTCTGTGACCGTGGTCGGGGTAGGCCACTCGACCATAGCCTGTATCTTCGACTGGTCCACCTGCACTCCCTGAGGCGTGACAATGTGGCCCAAGTACTCGACCTTCTGCACCCCGAACGCACACTTCGAGGCCTTGAGGTAGTACTGGTGATGCCTCAACACCTCAAAGACTGCCTGCAAATGCTGCAAATGCTCTTCCCAAGATGGGCTGTAAACCAGAATGTCATCAAAAAATACCAGAACATACCGGCGGAGTAGTGGTCTGAAGATGTCATTCATAGCCGCCTGAAAAGTCGAGGGAGCATTGCACAAGCCGAAGGGCATAACCAAGTACTCATAATGGCCGTTATGAGTCCTGAAAGCGGTCTTGTGCGCATCCTCCTCCTGCATCCGAATCTGATGATACCCGGCCCGCAAATCGAGCTTAGTGAAATAGGCTGAGCCATGGAGCTCGTCGAGCATGTCATCTACGGTGGGAATCGGGAACCGATCCTTCACCGTCGCAGCATTGAGGGCCCTGTAATCTGTGCAGAACCGCCAAGTCCCATCCTTTTTCTTGACCAGGAGGACCGGCGAAGAAAAAGGACTAGTGCTAGGGCGAATCAACCCGGTCGCTAGCATCTCCTCCACCTGGCGCTCGATCTCTTCCTTTTGCGAGTGTCCATACCGATAGGGTCGGACATTCACAGCCTCAACACCATCCTTGAGCTGAATCCGGTGATCAACCTGCCGGTGGGGCGGCAGTGTGGTAGGTGCCTGGAAGAGCTCCGGAAATGCGTCCAGTACCCGCTGCAGATCAGGGGGCAGCTCCTTCGCATCGGTCGCCACCGTGGGCCAGCAGAGGACAGCCAGCTCAGCCTCGCCCTCCGCCATGCACTCATGGAGCGAAATAGGCCCTAGGGCCGTCGTGAGCCCTTGCAGACTCCACTCCTTATCTCTCCACTTGAACCGCATAGTCAGATGGCGCCAATCAGTAGTCACCGGTCCCAATTCCTGCAACCACGGAACACCCAAGATCAAGTCAAACCCGCGGATGGGTAGAACATACATATCGGCAGTGACGGGCAGCCCTTGAATCTCGAAAGGCAGCTGCCGATACACTGCCCTGCACCGCATTGGGGCGCCATTGGCAACCTTGACCACCATAGACTCCACCTCGCTCGGCTTTTGAGGAATCTGCTTAGCCAGTTCCTCGCTGACGAAATTAAGAGTCGCGCCACTGTCCACCAACGTCAGAGCAGTAGTGCCAGCTATCTCAGCTCGGAAACGGAGTGTTCCCGGCGTAGGTAGACCAGTCACAGAGTGGAGCGAGATTCCCGGAGACGCCGGCGTCATCCTGTCACCCCCGCCGTCCTGGTGCGCGCTCGGCGGCGAGCAGCCCCCGCCGCGAAGCCCACCCGCGCGCGGCTCGCGCCGCGGCTCTCCCGTCGCCGCCGTCTCGCCGGGCGCTGCCGCCCCCTCCCCGACCGCCTGCCCTTCGCGCGGCGGTGTTACCCGCGCCAGCCCGCGCGGTTCACCCGCAGCCGCCGCGGGGCAGCCCTCCTCTCGCGCCTCCTCTTCCCGATCGGCGCAGAGAGCGTCGATCCGTTGCAGCAGCCGCGTCCATGAGGGATCAGAGAGCCTAGCAGAGCTCATGTTGGCTCTGATACCAATTGATAGAGATGAGTAGGGTTGGGGTTGTGAAATAGAATTGGGAATTGAGAAAGAATTAGGGATTAGAGGAAGAATTAGGGATTGGAAGAAGAATTGGGGAAGAACAGAGAAAAGAGGGATTTAGGGATTTTGATATTATTATTGCTTAACCGCAAATGAATGTGCAGAAACCTATTTATGAGTTTCAGAACTAACACAGGAGTAATAAGACAAATAAACCAAACCCGGCCCAGTCGGCCAACCCAACCCGACCCCCCTACCCGAGCGGGTCTCCATCAGATTGTCACGTAGCTTGCACTCCTCTGATAAAATGCCTTTTTCCCAGAACAAAGAGAAGATTCCCGATGATGCAATGCGGCTTTTCCACGAGCTAGTTGCGAAACTGAACAACAAACTCCACGGCTCCCGAGTAATGTAGCTTATACATTTGTCCAAGCGCTCACTTGTCATCAGGCACAGTGAGCAACCCCCACATGAAACTTAAGCCTGTGACAATGAAAAATGCAGGCAGTGGTGTCGGAGCTGGGATATGTGGAAAAATATGATGTATTGGCTCTCGCATTGGATGGAAGGATGAAGGTGAGAAGGTTCCTGTTTGGCTGCAAGCCAAAGTGAAAAGAGCATAACTTCAGATTGGTTCTGCTTCATGGATGGATATATGTACATGTAAAGAGCCAAAATTTCAGAGGTTTTTGCTGATGAGTTGTAGCTTATTAGAGCTGTTAGGTAACAAGGCGGTTTAGGAATAGTAGTAATGTAACCGTGGTACGCTTGGAGATGTTTAACAGATAGGGGTCGGTTAGCTTGCTAATTCCTTTAAATAGTTAGAAATTCTAACATTCCAATTAATTATAGTTATTTTTTATATTAAATTCGTCTTGTATTTAATAAGTTTTGAGAGTTAAAATTTTCTATTAATTACATTACTTTTTTAACTACCATTGTACTGATACAACTATCATTGCACCCGCACATTGAACTCATATTAATTACATTCCTTTTTTTGAACTACCATTGCACTGATACAATTATTATTGCCCTGAAAAAAGAAAAGTAATTAATATGAGTTTCTACAGATTATTAAATGCAATACAAATTAATTAACTTAAAAGTCTATAATTAATAGGGGGTGTCATTTTTCCAACCATTTAAGGGTAGTCATGTTATCTCACCCGAGACACAATCCACAAAGACAACAAAGGGTTATCCTATCCAAGGACTTCAGTTCAATACTTCAATTTCCTCGAAAAAGAAACCGTGTATGAAATACTGAATGAACTCGGATAATTCATCAACAACTTCTCTTTGGAATTCAATTTCTACACCACATTGGATTGAAACAAATATTGAGTAAATTAATATAAATGACGAATGATATTACTCCATTTTCTTTGTGAAACGTTATGATATTACTCTTCGGTCCAACAAAATGACACAATTTAGTTGCATATGATAATGAAATGGCTTGAACATTGTTAAATAGAATATTTTCAATGACCTATCCTCCTTTATCAAAAAATGATGGCTGAAAGACACATTAGAGGCCATAAGCTCAACCCAAGGTGCCCATTGCTCACTCATGATTGTCTCTTCATTCTTCACTAATTCTTTGGTTATCTTTTAAAACGCCTCCATGCACGAAGCACAAAGAATGTCAAGAGTTATTTTTTCACAATGGGGATTTTGTATGGCACTATGAATGATCGGTTATAGAGAGACACAAAAATATACTGGATTTTAAATAAGAGTAAAGCGTTGTGGAGCAATTGGTTGAAAACAAACCGTGCTAGTGAGAAACAACGATGAAGAGCGAAATCAACTACCTAAAGGCTCAGAACACTTGATCCATATACAATACACCCAAAATCCCTCTTGCTTCCAAACCAAACAAAGTAGGATAAAGAACAAAAATATATTGAGGCATTTGCACTTTGAGAGGTTTGGTTTTACGGTAGGTTTTGCCTTGTTTTAGCGTGTTTCGGACTCAAGCAGGTGGAACCAGCTCCGGAGTCAGGAGTTGGACGAAAAGAGGCAAAATCAGGTCAAAGGATGGAGGCAGCCGCAGATCACGGCAGATGCAGAAAGTTCACGGTCTGGAGGACCGTGAAGTGCCTTGTGTCTAGAGCCATTTTCAGTCTCACAGGACTCAAATTAGTTCATAGTCGTAAGACCGTGAACAAAAGCCATAGACCATGAAGAGCTTAAATATGACGAGGTGCATTTTTGCTCCAGTTCACGACCGTTAACTGGGACCGTGAATCGAGCTCGACCTGGATATAAAAGAGGCTTGAGCTGAAGGAAGAAAGGGGAGAGAGACCTAGTGTGAGAAACTTTTTCTTCTTCTCCAGATTTCTAGAGTGAGAAGTGACGAACCAAAGAAGAGATAAGCTAGGGTTTCATCTTCAAGCAAGGTTTTGGGAATTCCTTCCCCAAGGGAGGATCTCTTTAGCACAAGGAGCAAGGCTAACATCTCCATGATGGTTTCCCTTCTTCTCTCTTGTGTTTTCCCTTCTCCTAGCATGGAGTAGTCCCTTATTTCACTTGGGTGTTTGTAAATCCTAACTACAATTATGTGAATGTTTGTATGGGTTGAATGATTTATGTGTGGATGTGTTTTAATATGAATTTGGAGGTATTTTCACGGAAGATTGTGTTGTGTGTTTGCCTATCAATCTATTTGCCATTCTAACCTAGGTAGAGAGAAAACCCCCTTTCTTTGAAAGAGGCTTGTAAAGCTTGGGTTCTTAGGAAAATCTTGTCTCTTATCTAGGTTAATGTAGGGAACCCCTCTTTGTTCGTATTAGCACCCTAGGTTTGGTTGTAATTTGGTTGTCCGAACTCCGATTCGAGGGTGAAGTCTTGGCAACCCTTAGTCAATAGATCAAGAGAGCTAGTTTGGTGGCTTAAATCGAATTCCCTTGACCTATTCACCGAGAGAGTGGCGTTTATTCACTTGTTGAACTTCCCTACGATTTACAACCTCCTTACCACACGTGTTCATTCGATCCGACAAGTCATATTTGCTAGCTAGGGGGAGCAACACCCAGGTGAAGCCTTCTCAATTAGTGTCAAATGCATTTACTTTTCCAAACGTTTTAGCTATATATCGTTGTTTTCACAAAAAACCAATCGCTAGATAATGTTTCAAATAATCGAAGTAGGGGTACATGCACCGGCCCCGGTTGATATTTAAACATACTTTCCCTATATTGCACCCAGTTAAGGTTTATACTTGAAGCCTAATTGAGAGTTTTATTGTGATATTCGGGACGAGTCAAGTTTTTGGCGTCGTTGCTGGGGAGCAAACGGTCCATTATTTTGAAAAGATTTTTTGGTGTTAATCTAGCTTTTACTTTTAGCTTTTGTGTGTTTGAATCTTGATTGTGTTAGACGAGTTGTGGTTCCTTTGAGTGTGTGCAGGAAGGTGTATAACCCGGAGTAATCCGACACCTTTGGCACCACTTACGAGAATCTCACCCGCACTCTCCAACTCTTAGCCCAGGAGAGGGAGTTAGCGAAAGCAAGAAGAAGGATAGAGGAGAGGGGACAACCACAAGTTGGTCCCAAAGTTGAAGAAGTTATAGTTGAGGAAGGAAGTGAAGCCGATATGGCAGCTAATCAAGAAGCTCAAGCGGGAGCTGCGGAGCAACCGAGGACCATGGGCTTACTATATGGCTCCACGGGCGACGGATATTCAACATACTATTCGGCATCCGCCCGTGGCCGCCAACAATTTCAAGATCAAGCCCGCCCTCATCACCATGATCCAAAACAATGCATTGTTTCATAGGATTAGCAACGAGTCTCCAAGGGAGCATGTCCAGAGGTTCATCGAACTTACGGGAAGTTCGAAGATAAGTGAGGTCCCCGAGGACGCTTTGAAGTTGAGACTATTCCCCTACTCTCTTGCGGGGAATGCGTCTCGGTGGCTCAACAATAGACCGACCCTCTCAATCACCTCGTGGGATGACATGCTCAACAAGTTCATGACTCGATATTGTCCTCCTTCCAAGACGGCGGAGTGGCATAAGAAGATCACTCATTCCGAACAAGAGGAGGATGAGTCATTGAGGGATTCATGGGAGAGATACTCTGATTACTTCCTCCAATGCCCACACCATGGATTCGAGGAGAAATTTCGGATCGAGACCTTCAATGGAGGTCTCCACCAAGAGCACAAGATTCTCATTGACTCTTTATGTCAAGGGAAGGTGATGAACAAGACTCCACCCGAAGTGAGCGAGTTGCTGGAGGACATGGCGGCAAAAGGGTATGATTGGGCTTTGGCGAGAAGTGGTAAGAAGAGTACCGAAAGAGGAGTGCGAAGTGTGGGAGAGAGTGCTCCACTTGAAACCAAGCTTGACCGCTTGATTGATGCGCTCCTGGAAGAAAATAAGCAAGGGAAGAAACCATTGATGTCTTGTAATTGGTGTTCTAGTACCAATCATGAAAGTGCATATTGTCAAGTGATGAAGGAATCAAGCACCCCCGAGGAGCAAGTGAGTTTCATCGCTAATGCTAGGGAAAACAACCCCTATAGTAACACTTACAACCCGGGGTGGTGATATCATCCTAATTTCTCTTGGTCCTCTCCTACCAACCCAAGACCCCCCAGTTTTCAAGGACTGATGGGAAATTATCAACCAAGGCCTCCTTTCATTCAACAAAGGCCACAATTCCAAGGCTCTAACTTCCAACAACCATTCCAAGCTCAAGGCGGTCAAGGATTCCAACAACAACCCGATAATTTTGCAAAGCTTGAAGACCTAGTGACCACCTTCGTGAGTATGAACACTCAAAAGTTTGAGAAGATCCAACAATTTATGGATGTGGCAACAACAAATTTTACTTTGGTTGAGGCAGGATTGAGGAGCCATCAACCAAGCCTTCAAAACTTGGAGATGCAAATTGGTAATCTTGTCGGGATCCTCACCGAGAGACCAAGGGGATCCCTACCCTCTCAAACTATTGCCAACCCCAAAGATCAAAATGCCGGTTGCAATGCCATTCTTTTTAGGAGTGGGAAGGTGACCTTGGAAGTTGTTGCTAAGGAAATCACCAAAGAAGAGAAGACTCCTCAACAGCCAATGATCAAGAAGACGTGGGAGAAAAGGAAGAAGATCCTAAGAAGGCATTGCCGATGCCACCACAAGTGGCTGAGTACAAACCTCCTCTTCCTTTCCCCATGAAGATGCGCAAGGACCAATTGGAGACGTAATGTGGTGGATTCATGGAGATGCCCAAGAAGATCCGCATCACCATTCCGTTCTTGGAAGCCATGATGCACATGCCGAGGTATGCCAAATACCTCAAGGGGCTTCTCGCCAAGAAGCCAAAATATGAAGACCTCGCCAATGCCACCTTAGGATAGGAGTGTTCCGCCTTGAGGTATTTGAATGCCCAAGGAAACCAAGCCTCTTGGGTTAAGGATGTTTCCTCTCTAAACTAGCTTAGGAGGCATGAAATGTCCAAGAACACCCATCTCAAATTGAGCCTCTTAACCTAAGGAGGTTTCCTCTCTAAACTAGCCTAGGAGGCATGAAATGACCAAGAACACCCAATGAGCCTCCTAACCCAAGGAGGTCTCCTCTCTAAGCTAGGTTAGAATGGAAATTAGATTGATAGGCTTTCACACAACACAATCATTTCTGAATAATACCTCCACATTCACATTAAAACACAACCACACACAAATCATTCAATCCATACAAGCATTCGCATAATTGTAGCTAGGGTTTACAAACACCCAGGTGAAAGAAGGGACTACTCCACGCTAGGAGAAGGAAAAACACAAGAGAGGGGAAGGGAAACCATCAAGAAGATGCAATCCTTGCTTCTTGTGTGGAAGAAATCCTCCTTTGGGGAAGAAATTCCCAAAACCTTGTTTGGAGAAGAAACCTAGCTTTTTCTCTTCTTTGGTTTGTCACTTTCTT